CTTGCATGCATCAACCAATCTATAAAACTTTTCGATCAAAATTACCATCAAAAGATCACCTTGCAGATCACAACAAGGGCTCTCTGCAGCAGATGTTGGGTGGCGATAATCACCATAGTCTAGAGCCTACCTATTTACACCATAGCAATGTCTGTAACCATGATTAACATGCCAATTCAACTAGTCAGCTATTTGATCACAAGCAACACCTTGATTATCAGATGCAAGGATATTCTATCTTAGTTCAGCATGAAACGAAAGCATAAAGGTTGAAGATTATGAAAGCGTTGCAAGTCTATTGACCATATAGCTTCCCATAGACTTAATCATCCCTAGTGAGAATTTATTGACCACATAGCTTCCCAAGATTATGGAAGTACTGCAAGTTCAAGTTGGACTTTCATTGTAGTCAAATGCTCTTGCAACCATTAAAATATCTCATCACGTAGTTCATCAATTAATGACTCTGAAATTGAGTCTCATTACTTGTAGAAATTTGAAGCAATTTAGAGCTCTAATACTAAATATAATTCAAGATTTGCCAAAACACTTAGTTTTCTACTAAAAACTATTGCTATAAATAACATTCAAAAATAAAAAATTATATAATGCAAATTTTATTGATTTTCTACCGAATATGCGAACAATCTAATGCAAATATATACATGTGTATGCAAAGATTTAAAAGTAAACTATTTAGAACAAAAATATAAATGATATGATGCAATTTTTATTGATGTTCTACCGAATATGCAAACAATCTAATGCAAAAATATACACGTGTATGCAAACATTCAAAAATAAAAATGACATGATGCAATTTTTATTGATTTTCTACCGAAAATGCAAAAAATCCAATGCAAATATATAAACATGTGCATGCAAAAATTCAAAAGAAAACTACTTAGACCAAACATTTTTTTCCTAAGGATGAATAATAGAAAAAAGAAAGAACCCAAATTTTGTGAAAAACATAAATGTATACCCAGGAAGATATTCACCATAAGAATTTTAAATCAAACAAAGAAACATGTATTTTTAAAATGTCATGTAAAAAACTGACAACTTAGATGTGACATAATTAGTTAATTACACTTACATTTTGCAAACAATAATTAAATTAACAAAATGATTAAAAATATATATATAAAGAACAAAAATACAAGTTACACATCAACAAGGACGTTGCAATGCATCATATATATCAGATCAAGTTACCTACGATTACAATCTGCAACCAAGAACAAAATTAAGAAGAAAATGAGGTAAAGAAGAAACTAACAATCAAATTGTAATTGAAAAAAGACACTGAATCTTAGGAGACTTTGGAAGACAAAATATCTTCAAATCCAAAGAGAATTACAATTACTTATTCAATAACCCAAACTGCTTTCAGAGAAAGTAAATTTCCCGAGAACTGAAGCATATAATAAGATAAGGTATAATTCATGAGAAAGCACCGATAAATGCAAGGCATGATATGTGAGCATATCTAATCCAAAGCACACACGGTTGAGTTCTAAAACATCATGGACGAGGTCTTCTATCATACCTTAGATGGCCCTATGAAAAACCAAGATCCTAGAGAAGCACACAAATAGAAGAATTCAACTTTGGGCATACCATATGATACCTACAAGTAATTAGTAGAAACATATTGATGTAGAACGGGAGAGAAGTAACCCAAGAGGGGCCTTTGAATGTTTCGGCCAACAGCAGGTTGGCATTCCAATTCTTTCCCAAGATGTGCACTGTCCCGTGGACAGATTTTGAGGAAATCAAATAAGGGGGAGGCGGTAAGCTGGGAGGAAATTAGGAATTATTTCCTAATTCCTATTCTCAAAGATTTGGAAACTAATTAAAGGCTTTGGGCTTTAGGATTTCGGCTACCAGAAGGTGGGAATTTTGAATTTATTCCCAAAGGAGGAGATGGGGTTTAGGAAATATTTCCTATCCCAAATTTAGGAAAGGGGGGCCGGCAGCTTGCATGAATAAGGGAGGATTTAATGAGGTGATTTAAGGCTTCTAGATTTGACTTTAGGAATTAGGAAAGTAATGAAATAAATCCAATTTGAATTTAAAATTCAAATTGATTTAAATTAAGTACTTTCCTAAAATAGGCGAACTAAATTAGGAAATAAATTTTGAATTTCAAATTTAGATTATTTGAATTTCAAATTAAGTCCAAATGTCATTCACCCCAAATTAGGAAACTCGAGAAGGAAGAGGGAAGGGTGATGCCGGCGGCTAGGGAGCCATGGCTGGTGGTTTGGAGGATTTTCTGGTGAGGTGGTCGGCGGCTTATGGCGGAATGGAGACGACGATGGTGGACGTAGGTAGAGGATGACAACGACGGCTAGGAACAATAAGAAGGAACAAAATAAAAACAAAAGATAGAAAATAAAAACCGCGAGCCTTGGACTCTTCCGAAGACTGACGGGTGATTATTTGTCCTTCTCCAAGAACTTCAAGTTACGAGCACGGACCCATCCTGCGACTGGTGAAAACTCTGAATCCTTCCCATAGGACTCTCACTATCGTCCTCTCAAAAGAACACAAATTTTAATATCAATCATCAATCCCTATTACAATAGCTTAAGGCCATATGTATAGGTCACAACATAAGAAAACTCAAAATACAAAATTGCCCCTTGGGCCACAACACGCACATAAACCAACCTAGGGGTAAAATAGAAAATACATCAAATAAGAACTAAAATTCAGGAAAATAACTCATAATTGAAGATTTAAATTATAGTCGTCGATTTACGATGCCTCCTGTGATAGATGCGCCAAATCTTCGTACCGATGTCCGCATCACATACTTTACAATGAACATGAATCATATCGCACAAATATATGTGTTGCCCGTCACACATCTACAACTCTACTGCAATAATACACAGTCAAAAGCAAACAGCATTAGACCCAAATACAACTCAAAAGAAAATAATTCACACAGCATAACCAGCATGCATTTTTTACAATAACTATACACAGCAACACTCCATAACTTCATATTATTTTGGACACTAAAATCTATTCTTTTTCTATTCCTATGACTAAAACTTTGCTTTAGTGAATAAAGGCTTCTAATGTATAATATTCGTTGATCCAAATATTCCTGATATCATTTAATCTGTTGCTGGCAAAGTTGCATCTCTCACAATCTTACTCTAGCACAAAATGGTAGTGGTTACATATCCTTAGCTCTTTAATGTAGAAGTTGATGAGGATAGGCGCTGGTAAGAGTGCATGCAGAAGCAGGATTCTGAAAAAATGCATAAACATATTAACTCCCACAAAACCTGCTTCAGCTAGATCTGCATAATCAAAATTCTACGGCAACAAGTATCACAGATGCAAAGTTCTGTAAAAACCTTACAGACCCGTAAGAATGGCAAGACAATGAACACTACAAATATTGAGTTCTAAAAGAAATTTTCAATGGGTCAGCAGTACTCTTAGAACTACAAAGCAGAAGAAGAGTTATGCATGAAAATTTGAGGCTGAAGCACTGAACTCATACATCATGCACCATACATGCATATTATAAGAGCTCATAAATCATGATATAAAAGAGAATAATCCATATTGGAAAAAAAAATGGTAGGCAATGGAATGGTCAACCCAAATGGTTTCTTAATATATTCATAATGTCACATCCAATCTGAATAACTCAATTAAATGGCTTGGAAAGTTGTTATGGCTTGCATGGATCGAACCACTAGCAGAGGGGTACTTTCCATCATCATTTACATTATAGCAAAAAGCACAAAATGGCTCAAGGAAAGAAAGAAGTGAACATTTCTAATGACTAGCAGAAACTATGCACAAGATGTGGATTCCCTTATCAAACCATCAGCATCAGCCTAATGACTATATATATATCATAGTTCAAGATGGAGAATTAACTCATCTTTGTAGATATTTCCCGTAGCACATCATGACATACAAACTCCTTAAGATTTGATAATCAACTATATTTATAGCAAAAAATTGCATCAAGGTGATTGATTGTACCCATGTGGATGCCTGCAATTCTAAGATGAAGCCATTCGCATACATAGGGTAGTGGAAACCAGCACATAATGTATAAAAATTCAATATATGCTCCACCTACTTAATGACCGGATGGGAAGGCACATGAAAAATTAATCATCTTCCATTCTAGGCACACCAGATCACAGTTGTGAGTTTCTAAGCCACCTCCAGGACATAGCTTTAATAGTTCATGTAGCACCAACTATTCGCAAAGATTTTTTTGGCTTAGATGAGAAATATGCTTAGAAAATCACTATTTTGCACGTGCACCTTCTCTATGACTTCATGTCATGCACATCAAATGCACAACATATTGAAATGAAATGATGGATACTATGGAGATTAACATTTATAATAAAAAGTACATTCAGTACATGCAATCCCACTTTCCAAAGCTTCTACGTATTCATCTCTATATATATATAGATCTCAATGCAAATTGCATCATAAATCCCCAAGGAGAACCCGAATCAAAGAAAATTTCAACTGATGTGCATCGTTTTATCACCTCAAGCTAAATCAGTAGACCAGCAAACAGAACTTAAATACATGCCATTTGAACATGATTGCTTCTCATAAACCCAAAATCCACATATTCATGAAAATTTTTCATCAAAAATTTCTGAAGGACAAACTGACTCTAAGAATTTCAACTAATGTGCAGCATTTTATCACTTCAAGCTCAATCAGTGGACCAGCAAACAGAATTATAAATGCATTCCATTGACGCATAATTACTTCTCATAAACCAAACATCCACATATTCACCCAAAAAAAGAAAAAAATCAGACATTCATGCAAGCGATTCTATTTCTTCTTCCAGCTATCCAAAACAGCAGTATCCAAACAACCAAGCTTTAAACGAAATAAAACAAACAATCACCAATCAATGCCGACTCGCCCTGGATCCATCAAAATAAAACGAAAAGCAAATGAAGATGGAAACAGACGCGAACCATAGCTCTCTAGGGTTTTGTCGTCCTTCAAGATTCGTCCCTTGTAAATCAATCTCTGCTGCTCCGCGGGCACGTCGCACTTCTCCGAAACAAGGCTTTTGAAAGCGCTGACGAAGGCGTCGAGGGCCGTCTGGACGGAGAACTTCGATCCATTGGAGCAGCGGATGTGTATGGTGGCAGGGCTGGCCGCTGGACTAGCGACGCTCGAGTCGCCAGAATCACCATCAGCACCCATGGAGGCTGGAAATCACGGACTGCGAACCCTAGGAATTGACGAATCGGGACTCGAATCCCAGAAAATTTACCTCAAGTTTCTTCTAGTTCCTCCGCGGTGGAAAACAGAAAAGCGGAGAAAGTAGGAAGCTTCGAGACGTATGCTTCCTTCGCGGAAAAATAAATAATCTGGTAATAGTTTTTTTCTGTATATATACTATGCTATTATTATAAAAAAGGGATTTGATTTTCCTTTTACATCAATGGTAGCCATCCATTTTAATTTAATTTAATTATTCAAATAAAATCTCAATTTTTTTATTTTAATTATTATAATTATAATTAATTATTAATTATAAAGTTGATGTATTAATAATTCCACTAAAATGAATGCTTGCCTCATTGTCCAGCGTCCCTTTAGATATAGCCTCTAACTTAGACTTTAAGGCTTCACATGAAGAATATTTTTGAATGAGTCGTTGTTTCTTCGCCTTGTTGGTCATATCAGAGTCTGTGCTTCTTTTCCTTTGTTGCTCAGAAGTTGTGTTGGGAGTTTGTTGTGAAGGTAACGTTCTTTGCCAAGTCTTCTTTGTTCCTATTCATGTTGGCTCATAAATCCCAATGAGAGTTCTCTCAAAAGGTAGGGCTGTCAATAATTGACACGACCCGAAAACCCGACTCGAACACGACCCGGAATTTTCGGGTTGGACACGACCCGTTCAAAAAACGGGTCGGGTTCGGGTTCATAAAAGTGACCCGGATGGAATTTCGGGTCTGGTCCGGGTTAACCCGGTAACCCGCTAATGACCCGTTTCGACCCGCGGTTTCGACCCGCGGTATATTTCACGCGGCGTAAATGTGTGCCGGCGTTAAGCGTGCGTAAGCGGAATTCATTTCGACTTAAGGCCTTAAGTTAGGGTTTCGTCATTCACGCGCCGTAAAGTCGAGCTCTCCTCTCCTTCGCTGCTTCGCTGCTTCGTCTAGGGTTTCTCGTTTCTGAATATCGTTTTCTTCTCTGCAGATCTCCTCGATCTGTCGACGGTTTACTCTCTTCTCCTTCTGTGGCAGATTCTTGGTCCTTGGTTTCGTGGTGTTCATCGTGCACATCTGCTTTGGATCAACAAGAACACTTACCTCTCTCGCTGTTTGTATCTCTCATCTTCTTTCCTTTCTTCTCCTTTTCCTTTGATCTACATGTTGTGAAATGCGAAGTTCCTTTTGGGGTTAGGGTTTTTTCGTATTCTGGTGCAAATGAGCCAAGTCGAGCTCGATTTTCTAGTTTTCTTTGTTCAGTTTCTGCTGGTTTTTTTGTTAGGTTATTGCAGTGATGCACTTATGTCATTGTGGGCCTCCGAAGGAGCACCGCTCGCGGGGGTTCGAATGCAGAGGGTACGGCCGCACTATCCCGTAGGACAAAACGATCGTATGCCTCTACGCTCGACACGAACGGGTCGATGGGAGGGCAGATTGGATCGCGCATACGACTAACCATTGGGGATAGATGCTGTCGCCAGCACACCCCGATGGGTAGCAATAAACACGACCTAGTCACGGGTTTCCCCCAC